GTGGCACCGCCACAACCTTCCTAGATTAACAGAATCGTCTTCTCCTGCGCAGATCAGATCTTCCATTCCCACAATGTCATTTGAAGCTCAGACAAAGTTTCCAATGTTAGCGTTGGTATGAGTCCCTTTTTGAGGTGCGCCATGCACCCTACTCTCGTTCGGAATCGGTATCAATCTATGCACACTGTTTGACCTATAACTTGGCTTGAATGGAGCGGTTCAGTCAGTGTTCGAATCAGTGCTTTTATTTTCCTTGTTTGAATCTGCTACCAAATCTAGCGCCTCTGGCTACTGGATCATCCACGTATTCTCAGAACCTTTGTAGAAATGTGCTGTTCATCGAGTCCTGAAAACGAGATGAATTTCTTGTGTGCAACTGGTTCACTTTACTTTGTCCATTACTTTTTCATTTGTTTACCCCGTAATGGAGTCTTCTTATGGTTCCGATAATCGCTCACGGATGACAATATGAAAAGTGGCATGTCGTTGAAGACGAAAAAACCTGAACTATACCGTACTATCATGTCCTTTTTCTGGATGAGCACTGAATGTTGTGCTTAACGCTGTTTTGATAAGGTCATTGGGAAATCAAGAGATCCATTCCAGTAATATATTGGGGCGGGAATCCTTGGAATATTTGAGAAAGCGCTAGTTTATGTGGGTCCGCAATCAAGTACGTTAAAGTCGGTCTGCGTAGGTAATGGTACGGAAACAAGAAGCAGAAGTGACCACGTGACTCGTCTATGAAGAGAAAATGATAGAGGGAACGAAGAAAACGCCTTAAGTGGCCCCCTCCCCCCAGTCACAAACAACTGTACCGGTAAAAGCCCGAAAGACCGTGTATTTGGACAAGTCCAGTAGGAATGAGTCCTCTGATTATACAAGAGACAGTGAGGCACCGATTTCATGCTACTTGTCCGGGGAGGACATTGAGTTTTAGGAGGAGGACTTAAAGGCAGTTGGCGCGATAAATGTCTAAGAAGTGTAAAACTATTATAATACGCCTTGCCGGGCTGAATTCGGCGCCCCTGTGCAAGCGTTGCTTGGCACGCTTACAGTGCCCTTTCAAGCTACAACACACCCACCCGGACGCCCACCGTCGAACGCATGGTGAGGTTCTACCATCTTGTGAACTGTGTTCACTTCCTTTCCCTCTCACGTCAGTGATGTGTTATGAATTGTGACATGTCCTAACTCATAACTATTGCGCTGCAGACCTGTACACCAGCTTCTCTGAAGGTACCATGGGAGGGGAACTTCGAGCGTATACATGCACCAGCTTTCTTAGTTTGAGTAGAAAAATGGCAAATCATTTAGGTTTGTCATTCATTAGCCCATTGCGAAAATCTGCACACAATCTTGAGCGTGAAGATCAGGGCAGGGGCGCAGAAGGCAAAAGTTTGCACAAATAGCTTCCATACTTTCAAGAACAAGCGAATGTTTCACAGTAGGCAGAACGTCCGCGCCATTCTTACTCGCATGCTCTGTGAGCTGGTATCCTGACAGCTAAGCCTTTTCAATAAAAAGGTACGTGGTACCAGCCAGTTGAGACAGAGGTGCTGATACTAACAGTACAATTTGAGGGTTAGATCTCATCTGGGTCAATGCAGCTTCCCATTCCTCCCGGATCGCTCCTCTTATGCCAGTTCACTGACAATGACTGGTTTTTGTAAGTCATTGTATAGACCAGATTACGTCAAAGGCACGTTCCGCGATAAACTGAAGTCAAAGCTCTAAGTTCTAAAAGATCTCGAAGGTGATTGTGTAGGCTTATACCACATATAAGAACTAGGGTCGGTGTGCAGCCGCTACCGCTTAGGCCGGTGCCAGCCCCGAGTGGCTATCAGCCAGTAGTGAGCTAGTAGTTAGTAGCTTTCTTTTTAGCTCTTCCATTTCGAATGATGAGAGCAAGTGGCTCGCTATGGGGGTAGTCAGGGGTTCGAATACCGGACTGCTTTCAGACAAACTAACCATGCCTTCTACTCTCCAGAGCTGGTGAATTGGTGCCAGTTCCGTCTAGCATAATTGATTGAAATCACGGTATCATACACTTTGCATCACCGCAATTGTCGGGTCGCAATCAGCGGCTCGCACCTGCGGCTTTTCCA